TTTTTGTTTGTTTGCTTGTTTTTTCCTATGAAGGAATCTATGAAATAATGAAGACTGAACTCATTACTAAGCATATTATTGTAGAGATTATTTTCCTAGTAGAAGCACTCGTCTTCAGAAATTCTACAATTAATGTATAATCCTTGCAGAGAGTTAAATGTGATAAATTGAAAGTTGCTGCCATATCCTACCTTTTTTCTTGATAATGAGCCCTATGCTCAACTGGCCTTTTAAGATACATTATTTTTTGTTTTGGTTTTTAGTGGTGGAAAGCATTCTTCCAAAATCAGCCTTTGATAGTATTTGATTTTCTTAATTTGAATTTAGGCTGCATCTAGGGAGTCTCTGATGGAGCTCAGAATTTGCTTTTTCTTTCAGGGCTGATAAGCAGGCGGATGTGATGGGACTGTGGCAGCGCAGTCTGAGGGCAGCAGAGGGCAGACTGCACAGAGACCTGGGAGGCCTCTTTACAGATCGTGATGGAACCATAAGGGAAACCATAATAGCCCTCATTTTATGTATTAAGCCATATTTGCACAACAATTCCATTATAATACAGAGATAATCTTTAGAAGTAATTTTAAAACAGCAAATGTATAAATGCTGAGTCTCAAGTAAAAGAAACAATTTTCCTAAGCCAAATGTCTTTTGTAACGGATTTCAATGGTCATTTGATTGTTTTAAAGATAATTTGACCTTATGATTCACCCATTTCTTAAATGCATGTCTCCAATATAATTGTTTTCATTTGGAGTTGGAGTTAAAAAAAAAATAGCTAAATAATCCTCCGTGATTTGTTTTACTGCTTTGCAGCGCTTCTGTCTAACCCAAGGAAACTCTGAGTAGGTGATTAGTAGTATTGAAATTGATGTCTCCAAGAGTTCAATACCAGCTTGTTAAAAAAAAAAAAAGAAATCATCTGCTGAAGATGATGGTGACTCCAGTTCCTCTTTACATTTTTAAAAATATATTCCTTGCAATATAGCTATTTAATCTAAGTCCACCCAGCTGGGCCATATATACAGTCTTTGAAGACAAAAATAGTATCATCTTTATGTTATGTAATAAAAATCAGTAAGTGCTTACTGAATTTAATATAAATGAATTTCTTTGATACTTTTATCAATATTTTACTAAAGATATAGTGTAAATAGCAACTTTCATTGTAAAATAATTTAGGAGTTTCTAGCAAAGATAAAATACATAAAGGATTATGTAGTTTGTGAGGCATGGTATTTAAAGAAGACCAGTCCTGTGTCATTCCGTACCACTGAGTGTCTCTACAAAGCATAGGATTTATCTACCGTGCAACAGGACTAGGCAGGAAGAATAAAATTAGTATTTATGAGAAGCTGCAATGTGCCAGGCATCACGCCAAGCACTTTACGTATATTATCTCATTTATTATAACAGTTTTGCAGATAAAGACTCTGGAGCTTAGGTTAAGCAACTTTCCCCACAAAGGTAAGGTGAAATCAGTACCTTCTTTGAAAAATATTTCTGGAGTACATCCTATGTGCCGCTCACTGTGCTAAGCACATCGTGGGCTTCTGTGGACAAGTTGCATGAGCTCCCTGCTATCTGGAAACATGCATTCTAGTAGGAACACATTGTGGATGAACATGTAAAAGAAAATATGCAATATTAGTGGTAAGTATCTTATATAAAGATAATTTTCAGTAATCAATAAACAAACTTGTCTCCAAGGTGATGCCAATCTTTCCACATTATCTTGACCTTTTGACCTCAATGCAGACCTTTATATTTACTTCTATTATATCTAATCCTATAAATTGTAGTTGCTTTTCCCCGGATTTTAACTTCTTTGTGATTCCTGATATTTTTATTCTCTAAACAGCTGATGGCCAGTCAGACCATACCACTCATGCCACCCAGAGCCACAGCAGACCGTATTCAACTTTTCCAGATTCATTTTATTCTTCAGAAATTTAGACTGCTATTGCAACCCTCCCTCTAAAGAAAATTGACTTTTCCGTCCCAATTGGTTCCACTGACCTTTGTCCCCTACTGTCTTGACTTACTCCTTTCTCTCTACTGCCACTTGTTTGACCCTGTGTCTTGTGTTATAGAACCATTTGGACACTTGAATGTCTCCATCTTCAGTATAATAGCTAACATTCATTAAATGTCTACTATATGCCAATCGTTCCTTCTAAATTTTCTTTACATTTACATCTCATGCAATTGTCCAATTTTTTTTAAGGAAAAGTATGGCTGTCACCACTGTTTTATAAATGAGGAACATGAGGTGCCAAGAAGCCCTGTCCCCAGAATTATACACTAGTAAGGGACAGAGCCAGGATTTAGAAGAATGCAGCTCAGTGATTTTACTGGTATTTCATGTTTCAGAGTCTTTTATAACACTAGAACCACCTTCCAGTTCAAAATGGATGACCATGGAATCAAGTCTCTTTTCTCTCAACATTTTTGAAATGTGTCTCCTCCTTAAAGTCTAGGGTAGAGGTTAAATTACATTCAATGTTCCTCTCCATGTTTTTATAAATTCTAAGTTAATAATATCACATCCTCCTAGGTTCTTAAACACCACTTCTCCAAATCATGTTACAATAGAAGGGAGAATGGAAGAAGAGAAAAGCACCGGGCTTTGGCTGTGCAGTCAGCCAGGTGCATTCAAATCGAGCTCTGCTGTTTGCAAGCTGTGTGACTTTGGGCAATTTACTTAAATTCTCTTAGACTTTGGTTTCTTTTTCTTCTCATGGAGGATAACATATGTCTCAGGGGGTTGTGGGGTGAATCAACTTAACATAAGCAAAGTGCTTTGGCATATGTTTCACACTCAGTAATTTTGATTTTACTTTTATTAGAACTAAGATTAAAGAGGCAATTGTTCTCATTATTTCTTAGAAGTGTGAGAGAAATTTTTCCAAAAGTAAGTCAAGTTCTGTCAGATGCACTGTTGTTGGCTCTCTGGCTTATCATAGTCTGCATAGAGTCAGCCATCTATTCATTCATCATTCCTTCACTTGTTTATTCAGCAAGCAATGTAGTAATCAAGCATTTATAAGAACTATTTATGAGGATTTATAGAACTATCATACCAGGTTCTGTGCTAAACAACAGGATTTCAGCAGTATATGAGAGATAGCTCCCACAATCATGAAGTTTACATTCATATGATGTGATGAGATGTATGAGAGAAGTAAGCAACCGAGCTAAGCTTACATTAACATTTATAGTATGACAGCATTATCCACATCTTCTCTCTTGCAAGGTGGTCTGTACTCAACAGTTCCCCTCAATTTAGCTTCATCTATAAAGTTAAAACTTTTATCTAAATCTCCCTCTAAGATCTATTTTATCTCTTAAATGCTGTACTTCTACACTCATGTCATGGCTGGTTCTGTTTCTTTTAATTCCTACTTAAATTCCATCAGACACATTTCCAGTCTAAGGTTTATGGAATTTATTGAAAGTAGAATGACTGATTTGCAACCAGTATCACTTTTTACTCCTTCTATTACATCAAATTTGTACAAATGTGTACATAATAATATTTTAAATCCTGTTCAGTTTACCTGATATCTTGCTGAAACTGTAAGTTTTGTAAGAGATCACCTGCTTTGTTTCTCCTAATGATACCTGGGTACCTACTATAGCCCCTTTTCTTCTTTCTTCATTATTTCCATTGTTTCTCAAAAAAATCTTCTTTTTTTTTTCTGGACATTTCCCCCATATCTCTCAAACATTATTAAAATAATAATTTTTGCTACAAATTACACTGGACTGAATATGTCTGGAGAATAACCAACAGCAGACTACTCAACCCAGTGCAATAAGGGAAGCATTCAATATATACTTGAAAACACACTGGAGCCTCATGGTATTCTTGGATTGAATCTCTTAAAAAAAAAAATAAGGAAGAACAATTGGACACACTGTTGTCTGTATAGAGTAATATTTGTATGAACATAGACAGACTTTTGTGACCTACCACCACAATACAACATACATAGGACATACAGCAACTTCAGGTATGACCTTTTTTTAGCATCCTGTAACTCCTGTATTTGGCTATTCTTTTCATCCATTGCATTTTTGTCATGTTTATTTGTCATCTGCCTCTTGTCCTACTATATAACTTCATGAAGAAAAGAAAATTTAATTACTACTGTGCTGCCAGGACATTCCTTAAATACTCACTGAATGAATGCCGTGAAATGGTTAATATATCACAGAAAAAATAATGAGATTAAAATGCCTGTGTTGGTATTATATAGTATATAAAGAGATACTTGTTAAAAGAGATATAATTTTGACATTCTAAAGCAAAGCAGTTTTACAATTATTCATAAATTTAGAGTTAAAGTCATAATTTCCATGTATGGCTCCAATTCTGAATACATCATTTCACCTTGAAAAAAAAAATGTTGAGTATCATGGAAACTTCATTGCCATATCTACAAAATAATGAGTAACTATAGAACAGATACTGGGAAACCAAAGTTTTCTTTCCTTCTAATCATGATTTCATTCATGAAATAATTTTCTGGGGTGCCTGGGTGGCTCAGTCTGTTGCCTCAGGTCATGATCTCAGGGTCCTGGGATCGAATCCCACATTGGGCTCTCTGCTCAGCAGTGAGCTTGCTTCTACCTCTCCCTCTGTTTGCCGCTCCCCGCCTCCCTGCTTGTGCTTGCACTCTCTCTCTCCGTCAAATAAATAAATACAATCTGAAAGAAAGAAAAGCAAGAAAAAGAGAAAGAAAGAAAGAAAGAAAGAAAGAAAGAAAGAAAGAAAGAAAGAAAGAAAGAAAGAAAGGAAGAAAAAGAAAGAAGGAAGGAAGGAAGGAAGGAAGGAAGGAAGGAAGGAAGGAAGGAAGGAAGGAAGGAGGAAAGAAAGAAAGAAAGAGAAAGAGAAAGAAAGAAAGAAAGAAAGAAAGAAGAAAGAGAGAAAGAATTTTCCATTGAGTGCTTATTATTTGCCAGACACAGAGAAGAAGACACTATAGATGCAGAAAAAAGTACTCCCTTGGGCAGCTCACATATTAACACTGGAAAGATACAGAGATTAGCATGGCCCCTGTGCAAGGATGACACACAAATTCATGTAGATGCAGAAAAGAAAGATATAATCAACACTTTTGACTATTTTTTGGCTGAATAGAATGAGGAAATCTATAGTTGAGGTGTGGAAAAGGCTAGTATCTAAATAAAGCAAAGAACTGGGCTCCTAATAGAGTGAGGAGGAAGTGAGCAAGGGAGGACAGGGGTAACAAAGCCGGCCTCTGAATGGAGACTATTAATGATGGGTGTTCTTATAAATGAATAGAAGTTATGTAGGACGATCAAAATAATCACATTTCAATATGCCCATGATAACTTCTTTACCGTGTGGACTAGCAATTTCCACTAATTAAAACTGATTCTGCACCCCAGTGTTCATAGCAGCAATGTCCCCAATAGTCAAACTATGGAAAGAGCCGAGATGCCCTTCAACAGATGAATGAACAAAGAAGATGTGGTCCATATATACAATAGAATATTACTCAGCCATCAGAAAGGATGAATACCCAACTTTTACATCAACATGGATGGGACTGGAGGAGATTATGCTAAGTGAAATAAGTCAAGCAGAGAAAGTCAATTATCATATGATTTCACTTATTTGTGGAACATAAGGAATAGCATGGAGGACATTAGGAGAAGGAAGGGAAAAATGAAGGGGGGGACTCGGAGGGGGAGATGAACCATGAGAGACTATGGACTCTGAGAAACAAACTAAGGGTTTTAGAGGGGAGAGTGGTGAGGGGATGGGTTAGACTGGTGATGGGTATTAAGGAGGGCAGGTATTGCATGGAGCACTGGATGTTATATGAAAAGAATGCATCACGGAACACTGCAACAAAAACTAATGATGTACTGTATGGTGACTAACATAACAGAATAAAAAAAAAACTGATTCTAAGCAATTTGATTCATGTTTAATGTATATGTTCTTTGCACTTACATTAAAGAACAATCTGCAATTTGCAAGTTTTGTCTTAAATGTAAATGTCAACAATACTCTTGTTTCTTATTTAGTTCAAGAACTTCAGCAGCACAATGAGAACAGTGAACCACATTTTGAAGCTACCTGTCCCTGCAGGTAAATGTCCCTCCTTATTTCCTTGCTGATTTCCAACTCTGAAAGGTGTCATCTATACTCCATTATGATCATTTTCTTTTAACTAAATCTAGACTTTTACCTACTTACACTCCTTTCGAAACCAGCACCTTCCTTTCTTTCTTGTGTCCCAAAGTCCTGTAGCAGTTTTCTCTCATCACCACTGGAATGGCTGCTGATTAATCAATGAATGCAGTTTCTTCTAAAAATAAATGAGCCCACTTGACTAAAGTTTCCATCGTAACTCATAAGAACCATGCTTATGCCTTTTCCAGGGCCCAGGACTGTGGATTTATTATAGAGACCTAATGAGTAAGTACATAGTTGATAAACATTTCTAATATATTTGTTACAGAGTATATGGTTCAGTCAACCATCATTTATTCTTTTATTCCCAGTCTCAATAACAAACTGTATCTTACTAGTGGTTATCTTAGTGAAGGTAAATTCCAAGATCATGAGTTTTAAGAGTGTAACAAGTACATTTTACTCCCATCAAACATTTAACTTGCGCCCTCTCTAAATATTTCCCAACTACTTGACTAACTCCCACCTATTCCAAACTTTCCAAAAATGTCTTTCTTTCTATTTCTGTAAAACCACCCCTGTCCCCCTCAGGGCATGACCAAAGCTCCCTTGGTAAAAAAAGAGCACTGTAATTGAAGCCCCAAGATCAGGATCTGATGCTTTGTTCTCCATTTTGTAGCCACATAATAATAAGTAAGCAACTTATTTTTCTAAGTTTTCCTGAATCTGAGATTTGGCAAATAAGAAAAGTAGATGAGATCATCTATAAGGTCCCTTATGGTTCTTATATTTCATAATCTTATTATAAGTCGTTCCAAACTACCAGGACCCTTAGGTTCTGTGTAGTTAACTTTATTTCATGCTTTTATTTTTGTTGTTTTCCATATTTTTCTGTGTGTTTTTCTATAACCACTTTGATAAACAGAAGCCCCTTCATCTATTCTTTGCAATGCTATATAATCTTTAGTAATTAAAAATTAGTCAAGCTAACTCATTACCTCCTTCATACTAGAAATTTTGATGTGTGAATTTTGTACATTTAAACTTAAGCTACAGAAATGTCATAAAATTCAGTTTTCCTGTAATATATGGTATTCTATTTACTTTGGAATTTTATTGATGGTTTGAAATTTACCTAAACCAGTGGCTTAGAGCACCATCTAAAACAACAACAAAAAATTAAAGATGGTAATATATTTGTGCTGGCCTCCAATTAATTCCGTGTGCCTTATAATGCAATCTAGTATGAGACATATGACTGATGGATATTCCTGTCAAACAACTGTGCAGAGAGAAGTGTGTGTGATCTCAGTCCAGTTCAGAGCAGAGTGTCCACCTGGCAAACCCTCAGCTCAGTGGAAATGATCATCCTCTGTGTTATCAGTCTCATCCAAGAAGTTCAAAACTAAATGGACCCATGGACCATACTAGGACTCTAACCTTCAAAGGGGCTCCTGTGGATCAAAGATAGGCCTTACTCACCTGATCCTATCAGTTCACGAAGGGTGATCTTTTTAAGAAGACCCTTGAGTCAACTTTAAAAGAGAGCTCTAAAATGGAATTTAATAAAACACAGAACCAGGAAAATTGAAAATAGGAAAAACTTAAGATGGTCTAACATTGCAGGGCTTGACGGCATTATTCTTTTGCTGCTATATTAAGCAATCTAGTCAAAATGACCCAGTAAAGAGAAAAACAACAACAACAAAGGAAGGAATATTTTTAAGGGATGCTTTACTTTACTTTAGAAAATATCTTAACGTATTTATTAGATCAAAACACCATAACAAAATGTAAGTTGTGTTCTCACGGGATGTATATTTTATATAATTTATAGGTACTTGATACATGCTGAGTGATAACGAGGGTAATAGTGATTATTTGATCATGAATATGAAAACAGAACACTTTAAAAGGAAGTTTCTCTCTTGAGTTTAGGAGGTCATCTTTATTTATCATCAGTTTTAAAATTCTTAGTACTGACAGTAAGAAATGTATGTTAACTTGTAATACAAGAATAATACTAACCAACCATGTTTTTAGAATCACGATATTAAGAAAAATATTGTTTGAGGGCTTCCATTATTCCTCAAAATTCAGACGATTAACACCAAAGCTAATTTAATATCATGCTATTTCTAACCTGAATTTTAAATGAACTATATGATTTATTCCATGACATATCCTATCCTTTGAAACAAATTTTGAAACAATCACTTAAGTAGGATTCTTTGGGCCTTCTTCAAAAATTTTGGTGTATGCTTTCTAGCTTGTTTTTGTTTTTTAATTTAACATTATGTGCCATAATTAAAAATAAATAAGCCTTCTAGATATTAGTTTGGTAACCAACGGCAGAGTTTTTCAGGACTATTTCAGATTTTCTTTTTATTTTTTCCCTTCTTTTGTTTGATCTTTCTTTTCTTTTCCTTTCTTTCTCTTACTTTCAACTTCATGATAAATTCTGGATTATGTCTCACTGAAGTTTCAACACTAGATTTAATGAAGAGGCTGAACTTTTAACCTCTGAGACCAACACACTTTAAAACTATCACCAATATCCATTGTACTTATTTTCAGTGGTTCTGCTCCAGATATAGTAAGAATAAGCCTTACAGTATACGGAACCTTATTTACCTAAACTCTTTGTAACAGCAAATGGAGGGGTTTTAATTCTTTTGCTGGTCTTTCTCAAAATTCTTGAAAAGAAAAAAAAAAAAAACAAAACTGGAGCCTCTAGCCCTCTGTACTCCCCAATCCTGCTCCTCTATTGGTAGTTGGTCTGCAAATAAAGAGGTCCTGGGTTGTCAGCTTTCAATAAAAAGTCACTTATTTGTAACAAGGCTTCAAATCTCTCAACAGAAAGGATCGTTTTTACCAGGTCATCTTATAGCTTCCAAAATCATCCCATCTATTCAGCCTACATTCTGCCTGCAAGGAACACGAAACAGCATTTCCTAGATTTCCAGAGCCAAATAGTAGGGCTGCTGTTGAAAGGAAAGAACATATTTTAAAATGTAGAATTCATGCTTACCTTTTCCTCTTTGTGCCATTAAACACTTATAAATGTCACTCCAAGCTATGTCTGTCTGTGGGGAGCCCAAAACCGGGCAGTTCCCTTATTTGTTGGAGGAATAATCTGATGAGCAGTGAACGCTAGAGGGGGAGCTTACCCGTTCAGGAGAGAGAAAGCTTCAGACCCTTTGGGAGAGGATCTAAGAGATACTAGAGCTACTGACTTAAACAAGTCAGCAAAGATTTGGTCAGCCATGGTTCAAAAGTCAAAAGGTCAAGAATGGTGGGTAGCCAATTTATTGTCATTTTCCAAAAAGGCAGGGAATCATAAGTGGAATTGAGACGTTTAGCTGCTCCACATGCTATGATACGGAATATTTTTAAAACCTCTCCGGAGGCAGTTTTAACATGAGGAGTAGGATTACAGAGGCTTTTTCCCCCTTTACCATGACTGTCTGTCATTTAAATGTCTAAGGAATGATGGGATGAATTATCATAAAATTTTGACAAATTTGATAGCTCAAGCAAAAGAGGGAAATAGGCATTCTGATTATTAGGCTCTAATAAGACATGACATTTAAAATGAGTTTACACGGTAGTTAGACCTTTGTTTTTTTTTTTTCCCCTTGATTTAAAAACATTGAGATTCTTTTCTTTGGAAAGAAAAGGACTTATTTCAGTTTTGCTTCTTTGTACTTTAATAAGTCCTATCTTCATATATTTTTATCCCTTGTAATCATATCTAATTGCTTTCCACAATTTGCCTGAAACTGAGAAAACTTAAAGTGTATCTTAAAAAAAAAAAACATAGTTAAGGAGAAATATTTAGAATTTTAGTAGGAAATAAATGTAAGCAAACATTTCATTTGTTATTAGCTTATTTTTTTCTGTTTCATCTTAAACACTTTATTTTTATTTTTTTTTTAAG